CGCACCTACCCTTTCCCGAAACTGTAAAATAAAATTTTTAAAAATTTACCGAATTTTGAGCAGATAAAAATGTAGGTTGAGAATTTTTGCAATTATAGGGAAAGTTCATAAGATTATGGAGTGATAATGTAGCTGCTAGAAAGGGAAGAACAAGCTGCATCGAATGACTATTGGATTGTATTCGGATCTTTATTATGCGAGATTTTACAGTCATAAATAGTCTAAAGAAGTGATGGTTGATAGTCTCAAGCTATAGGTGTAACCGAAAACTGATACGCACTTTTATGATCAACAGGCTGAAAAATTATCGTTTGAACTGAAGCCTCGCATGCCAAATATGCGCACTACCGCAATCTTGAAGATGTTTATCTTTGTGCATCTCCCTTGATTGTCATTTCACTTTGCTAGCATTCATTATCTCAATAATGGAAAAGTCGTTGAAAAGCCAAAGAAATCTCTAGTAAATAAATTATGAAGCGATCATTTCCAACAACAATGAAAGTGTCCCATTTGAACATGACCAAAAAAACAGATGTTCACGCCGTTCCACTGCATTTATTCAGATTTTGAATGCTGCTGTGTTTTACATAGAAAGCACAAAAAAAGCTCTTGATTCATGGAATTTTACAAAACATGTTTCAGACTTTCCAATCAGCAAAAGCTGCTTGAAGGGGGAGTTAATACAAAGTCCTTTCTTGGCTTGATTTCTGGTTGTATTCAGTATCTTAGTGCTATGCTAGAAAAATGTGATTTTTCCGAGTTCTTATAAGAAACAATTTCAAACAAGAGTTTCACTAGCTCCTTCGTATGTTCAGAATTTTTTGAGTTTCTTTCGGAGACTTTATTTGGAACCAAATTTTTAATAGTAAAAACTATCTTATTTCTATAGCACAAGGATTTAACATAAACCAATAAAATTAATCATTTAGGGCGACCCGTCACAGCCGATCTTTACATGAGGGATGCTGAAGAGTTACTATTGAAGAAGGATCCGTATATGTGCTTTGATCGACATGGACCAGCTTTTTGTGAAACTTTCGTTGCGAGACGAGATCATTGGACTCGCTACGGCTTTACCTGTGAACATGCAGCATTTGCATTTAGACTGTGTCGGAAGACCTGCGGATACTGCACAGGGCAAATTTTGTTGATTTTTTTTTACAAACGAAGGTCACGCAACCGAAAGATCCACAAAGTTTCGGACAAATTCTTCGCAGTTTTTTTTAGAGAAATTGGTAGGAGAGAAATGCACAAAATCAAGAGAAATTTCATTCAAACAACTTCTATCTGATTACTGTTTCGGCCGCACTCTTCCCATGATTCCAGTGATTGACTCCTATGATTGTTATGATTCCTATGATTTCTTGGCCTCCTAAAAGCGCGCTATTCATCAAGGCGTTCACCACTACAACGAAGGCTGTTGGAAAAACAGAAATCATGGAAATCCCAGGAATCACTTGAATCACACGGAATTCTAAGGATTACGGGAATCAAGCAAACGTGAGAAGGCATGGCCAAAACTCAAGGGAGTCTACAAAAGCAAAATCCATTCAAAATGAAAGTCGTAGTCATAAGCTGAAATTTTTGATCTTTTTGTGGACACAGCCGTCCAGCTTTTCCATTGAGCGTATTCAGGAACCGAGTTTCAACCTTGTAGTACCTTTTGCGTCAGTATACAGTGACCTTCCTTTGTCCCAGCTTCTTTTTTCGATGCTTGTGATGAATCTCCAAATTTTTTCAGGTCCATGCCGGCTACCGTAGCATATAGCTCCGCCATCGCAAGCGATCCGAAGGAATGTCAACGTCTGGTCTAATGGCAACGTCTGGTTTAATGTACATGTATCTCAATCTATCATTTCCGAAAGAGCCCCAGATAATTTTTCAAATTGATTGCAAGGATACGCGCTTCGCCTAAACTTCACACTAACTTCTACTTACCTTTGCGCATAGAATGTATACTTTTGACGCATCTCTTCAATCCACATAGTCTCGCATCGCTCGCACTGTCTGCTACCTGCGAACGCCTGCACTTTACAGCTCTTTTTGTTGTTTAATGGAACTTAAATATTTATTAGGTAAAAATGAGCAAGAACGGGTGCTTGGTATTGTATTACTTTTCATCATAAAATAATTGACAGATAATTTATTCATCGCATCAGTTCAGTTAAGGAAATTGATCTGAGAGCTAGCAGCTTCTGGGTCTTTAGACCAGTAAGCTGTAGGCTAGGAGGATTCAATCTCCACTATCCCAGATTGAACAAAAAATTCTACTCCGGTCTTTTTAATTTGTTGTTTTATCGATGTGCCCGTTGGTTAAATCGATTACCTACTGAACTTTTGTCATCAAAAAATGGGTGGGTATTCAAAAAGGGTCTTCAAAAGATGGAAATCTCTGAGGTTCTGAATTGTAATTCTTATCTTTGTTGATTTTCACCCAGTTTGATTCAGGTCATGGGAGGTGGACAAGTAATCTCGATAGTCGCAAGTTGCTTTATCTTAGTCTTTCTTCATTTTTGTTTTAGTGTTCTGTTTATCTCGATATTGTTTTTTTTCTTTCAGGTCGTCGTGCTAGTTCTGGCGTGATTTCGAGCTTTGTGTTACTACAAAATTTTATATCGTTTTTCAAACTGAGTTTACGGACTATGAAGCTTATCTTCTTTGCCATTATCCTCAATTTTTTTTGCCTCTTATTAGAATGAGTGTACATCTATGGTACCATTCATCTCTGTAGTAGTCGTTTTGACCATGTTTATATTTGCTGACCGTGAACCAACCAGTCTTATCAACAAGGGGTTTTCTGATGGCGTTGTATCACAGCTACCTAGCCCCATGCCCTGCCACTCTCCTTGAAAAGTTTATCTAGATGTTCAATAGATCTTGCTCCCTTCTAAAATAGATCTTTACTGGGGGCCAGTCAGCTAGCTTTACCCGCAGGCTCGCTGACACTCAAATGACGGGGTGGGCCACAATAATTTTAGAGCGAGCAAGATTTGGATTCTATACAGTCTATAAAGGTCGTTCGCAGCTTGACTTTTTTAAGTGATTGAACGTCTTGGTAGGCCTGGGGAATGGGTTCTTTCATCCTGATCTTCTATTTCTCTATTTTTTTCAACTCCTGCGATTGAGACTGGTTGGATTCTCGTTTTGTTCATAGTTGCTTTGTCTATTTCTTCTTTTTCTCATTTAGGCACACCATGAGTGTATTGAAATAAATAAATAAAATAAATAAATAAGTTACCAAATGAAAATGATTTATGATACAAATAAATCATTCATGCACTATTCCCGGTCTCGTCAAGCATATCAACCATATAAGTACATCACTGATTGCACTGCGGTGGTTCCAGGACCAGCATATTCTCAATGTTTGTTATAAACGCGAGCAGACTTAGGCGCACCGCGACGCACGTGCTTTGCGTAGCGTTCGCTCTCTTTCTTACAACTATCAGGCTGTCCCATAAGTTCCGTAAGTTTTGACTTTCAAGCGCAATAAATCATGAACTTCTTGTTTCTAGATAGGTTCCAAGGTAATATTCGATAGAGCAATGCGAGTTCTACAAGAAGGCTATCTCGCTTTTGCACTAGCTCTGATCCATTTCGAGTTTCAAGGCGAAAACTAAAAAGATTCAACTGCCTGAAAAATCGAGAAAAAATCATAACTCCGTTTAGAAAATCCTACAGAAATTCTAACTTGCTCGCATACGCACTATCCATTTAAGACATTTATATACGCTGTTGCCGTATTTTTTCCTTGGTTAGAAATTAAGAAAACGAGGATTTTCATGCTTTTGCTAAAGCGATGTTGTGCTTTTCCTACATAGATAGTTGTATACTACTAGTCTGTAGAAGTACAAATGTAACTTTTCAGCTCCTTACAAGCTTTGGTTCTCGAGAAATATCAAATACAGCTTGCCTTAGTTGGATGCCTTGCGCTAAATTCCATATTTCTCAAAAACTAGTGCCTCTAGAGGGCTGAAAATTTACATTTGTACTTCTACGGGCTAATCGTATACAACCGACTATGTAGGAACAGCACAAGATCGCTTTAGCAAAAACAAGAAAATCTTCCTTTTCTTAATTTCTAACCAAGGAAAAAATACGGCAACAGCGTGTATGAATGTCTCAAATGGATAGTGTGTAGCGAGCAAGTTAGAATTTCTGTAGGATTTTTTAAACGGAGTTATGATTTTTTCCTCGAATTTCGAGCAGTTGAATCTTTTTAGTTTTCGCCTTGAAGCTCGAGATGGATTGGAGCTGGTGTAAAAGCGAGATAGCCTTCTTGTAGAGCTTGCTTTGCTCTATCGAATGGTACCTTGAAACCTATCTAGAAACAAGGAGTTTATGACTTATTGCGATAGAAAATCAAAACGGATGGAACTTATGGGACAACCTGATAATAAACCAGCAACCAAAGGTGCTAAATTCGGGCTTCGACAAGCGCCGCGGTTTCCGCTATTTGATATTTTTGAATTGGCGTTATGATCTTCTTATATATAAAGTTGAATGTGTGTATGTATGTCTGTATGTCTGTCTGTATGTACGTATGTGCGGAATAGAAATTTTTATTTCTGGACCGATTTGGACCAAACTTGGCACACATATACTTCGGGGCAGGGAGCGTGTCATAGGCTACTTTTCGTTATCGATCGATATCGATTTTATCGATTTTTTGCAAAATTTGAGCTACGGGGCTGGGAGTTGGCACAGGGGGGTAATCGAGCATGCTGATTACGAATATAAAAATGACAGGGCCGGGCGGAGCCGGGTTTGCCAGCTAGTTATTCATATATTAGAATTTTTTCGCAATTTTATCAGTGCCCCACGGCGAATAATCCGTACTACTTTGGCGTGTTTGTCTTTGGAGCTCAGGAAGCGATTGTTCACCCAAAAATAGGGTAATTCACTCAAAGTTCACCTGATATCAGAGCCTTATCCAAAGTTGATTTATTGATTTATCGAAATAAACGCATATTCATACATATACGCAGATAATATATCCCATTTTATCAAGACCAAAAACAAAATAAAATCAATCATAAGTAAGCTTCAAAAGTAGATAGCATGCTAAGTAACAAGATAACAAGATGAAACAAACCCCATATCACAAACCAAAAGAAAATTATGCATTGATATTGTGCTTTGATAAATTAAGTCAGAAAAAAAAACAGATCACAGGACAACGATAGCTACCAAAAGCAACAGAAAGTGAGAACATAGTAGGCGAGGATAGCGAAATGCGATATCAATCACTCTACACCTATGACAGCCTTCTAAGTAGGGATCTAAGCCAGATCAAAGGATCAATGTGCTAATAACAAAGAACTAAGTAAGAATCACAAGAGAAGAAATTTTCCAAATAATGTGACAAATTTTGCTGAAGTAGAAAGAGATTAAGCAAATTTGGCTAAAGTAGATAACTTGAGCGAATTTAGCTAGAGTAAACAAGTTAAGTGCATATAACTTAAGCGTGAAAGAAACCTAATACTTTGAAAATCAATGACGCTGTTGTTGTTGCTGCTGTTGCTGCTGACGTTGTTGTTGTTGCTGCTGCTGCATCTGGGCCCTTGCCTGATCCTCTCGTATTTTTTGAGCTCTCAAGAATTCAGCGTAGTCTATGTAACCGTCTCCATTGAAGTCGTCATCTCTAGAATCAGAAAAATGATACTTGCTGAATATGCATGAAGCGTAAGGAGATAAAATGAACGAAGATGGTTATATGAAACATTCAAGTCAGAAATGGCCAGATACATGAACAAAGATTTTCTGAGACAAAAATCTTTTCAACAGATTAAAAACAGGACAAATAGTAAAAAAGGTAGACATAAACATGGAAAAACGCTGATTGCCGTTATCGAAAATTTCAAAAATTGTTTTGCTTACCAACCTCAAGATAGAATCGATCATTGACTCCAACTCTATCTCACTAGGCAGTGGCGGCGGCGTATTGGCACCTTGATGTTGAGGTCCTGGGTTTTCTGCAAATAATCTCAGAAGTGAACTACATTGCATGTAATAAGTAGAATTATCATGAATCGAATGGATACCATAACAGGACGATATCGTTTTCCAGTGGAGCACCCACACTAGCTATGTCATGAGCAATGAATACTTAGTTTACATCTACCTAGTGGAATTCTGATCACCACCTCTGGAAGAAAACTCGGAAAAAGCATTCATCTGTGTCTCAAAAAAAAAATCCAGTCAGCAGAAGAATTAACAAACTAGTCCTGTTCTTCCCACACAATTTCATGCCATAGGCAAACGCATCAAGTCCCATATACGCAAATCTTCGATATCGACAAAAGCAGGCCCCGCCCCTTCGGCGAGCTATAGTTGACTGCACAGAATCGCCCGGACTGAGCACGTGTCTTGAGCGCTAACATTGACATTCGCGCGCATGAGTCATCATGGCGCCCGTGCTCGATAGCCGCGTTGCAGGCACGCTCGCGTGCGTTCAGCCTACAGCAACCCGGACGATTTAGTGCAGGCGACTTTACCTACACCCCATATGTCACATCACTTCACTCGAGTGCACGAACTCTATACAGTTTTTCGCTATCCATGCACGATGTTGACCAATATCATTTATCGAAAAGGTTTCAATTATACCAGCGGGATTCGAGCAGATCCATATATGTTCAAATAAGCAGTACTCACCAGCGTGGAAATGAGTGATTGCTTTAATCAACTCTACTCCATCCAATTTGCCATTTTTATCGAGATCATGCATATTGAAATAGTGGAACTGCAACTGTTCTGGCGTCATGTTTGCGGTCGGATCCACTTTACCGTCCAAATGTTCCTTGATATGGCTGGAAGTGAAAGGTTTTAGGTGGCCGGATATCCCCTGTTAAATTGCTCACTGTTCATCTTTTGCTTGTTCACCGCCAAATTGCTGAGATGCTTGGACTTGCTGGGCTGCCTGAGGCTGTTGATGTTGGCCCTAAAAAAGAGCGCAATTTCCACAGCACAGATTGACGAGTACATCCAAAGACCCAAGATGTTACAGAAAGCTTTGTTACAACGATGAACCCCAGAAAACCACGGCAGTTCTGGACGAAGAGTAGTCGAAGTTAATACAATATTATATCATCATTGACGCACGGTGTTAGAGAGCTTGCGATTGTTTGGCAGAACAAGTAACGAACATTTCCACAAAAATGAAAAAAATGAAAAATTCAAATAATATCGATATAACCTGTGCGTCATGTTGTTGTTGGTCATAAACCTATTTTCATTGGAAAATGCAACTTGTAAATTATTTTTATGGATGATTTACCTGATTTTGCTCTATCTGTTGCTGTTGTTGATTGACCTAATTTGATAAGAAAAGCTTGTATGTGTGTAAATCAAAAGTTTAGTACGCAGCAGCATACCTGATTTTGTTGTATTTGTTGTTGTTGCTGTTGTATTTGTTGCTGTTGCTGTTGTTGCGGCGGGACCTATGTTTTGTTTCCGTTTTGTTTTATTTATTTGTTTGACATCACATTTGTTTCTATTCAAAACAAAGCCTCAACAACCTTTCGACTTCGTTTTCTATATTAATCCTGAGCCTTTGAAATGTTGTGATCGGATTATTTTCAAAGCAGCATTTTCGGAGCCTAGTCAAAAACCAGCATACCATAAGGCTCAAGAACAATTTTTGAAGGAAAAACCGAATTTAAATTCTGCCCTTGAGCTAGCTGTGGACATTATGAGGCAAGCCGTTAATCGAAAGACTCAGTGGCGAAGTGCAGATATCAGTCTTATCTCAATATGGACACACAGGCAAGACCGTGCTCAGGGTTTGCTATTCCCCCAAGCGACAAAAGAATTGACCGAAAAATTGCTAGCAAAAAACATAGGGGTGAAGATTTGTGATGCAAGATAAACCCCCTGTTAATAACAGTTATTGTTTTGTTACTATACACCCTACAATACAGGGTGCGGCAAAAGTCTGGGAGCCTAACTTTGCAGTACTGCAATTACAAAAAAACTGATGGTTTCGATTTCAATTTTATGCCACATGATGCTGCGGTCATCCTTTACAGAACACACTTTATTTGGCTGGAAATGGCTGCCATATATTTTTGTAAGAATGGAAATTACCAAACTAGTACTTTTGCAAAGCGAAAAAACCAGAATTTTTGGTATTCACAATTTTTGCTGTAACTAGAGATGCTGTTAATATTTTACAAGACTTCGATGCACACAACATAGAAGAGGTTTTGCGCTATTGTATCCTAGTTTTGCTTTTACCAGGAGCTCTTCTTGCATGAACGGAAAATAAAAGTTTGCGAATGTTACCTACGTGCCAGTGGAAATCCGTCTTCAGAACAAATTTAAAAGCTATAGAATGCTCAACTGGCACTGGGACCAAGGCTGTATTTTTTGCATACGTCTTCTAAATTAGAATCTATTGAAACTCGGCCATGGGAACACTTTTTATTCTTTTCAAACGATATTTTTGAGTTTCTATTCGCGCAATTGTAGCCAAAATTCCGGTATGCGACGTACACATGCTTCTAATTGAAAATCCAATATTTTTTTCCTAAGCAATGCAAAAAATTCTTTTGGAATATGTTGTAGACAAAGGTTTGCTCTATCACGCTGCGCATCTGCCAATTTAAAAGAAGCAGTTATTGTGAAGGCGTGGGGCGAATTCCATTACGACTACCTGCGTGCCATGACAGGTGGACTGGCCAAGATTTTGTAGGGCTGCGTGGAAGCCAAAAGAGGCAGTTTTGCAATTCAAGAACTGTGCTGTATCTGCAATGGTTCGAATTATGTGTGCGCCAAATTTTTCGTTTCTAGGTACTTCCCTTCTCGTTTTGTACGAAAAAGTACTAGGCTCCCAGACTTTTGCCGCACCCTGTATAAGCTTTATCGTTTTGTGCATAGCAAACGCTGTACCTGATTTTGTGGGGGAGGCTGCTGTTGTTGTTGATTGACCTATGGTTCAAATATTTTTGGCGATATTTGCAATTCAATTTACTTTTCAGAACCAGCATTACCTGGTTTTGTGTGGGCTGTTGCTGTTGCTGCTGCGCCTGCTATAAGCTTTGATGTGTATTCATTCATTGTGTTAATTTTACACAGAATAGTATACCTGATTTTGGGGAGGCTGCTGCTGCTGATTAACCTGTGATTAAAAATTTTGATTATGTGTGGGTGTCTGCGCAGTTTGCAGTACCTGATTTTGTGGGGGAGGAGGTTGCTGCTGTTGCTGATTAACCTGTGATTTATAAGTATTTCGCCAAGTTCATAAAGATACATTGTTTATCCAAAGACCTGATTCTGTGGTGGTGGCGGTGGTGGTGGTGGTTGCTGTTGTTGCTGTTGGTTAACCTACATATTATCAAACTTGGAAGCATGTATGAATTTTTGCCGTTGCCGCTTCAAAATAGTAAGTACCTGGTTCACAGGCGGCTGTTGTTGTTGTTGCTGCTGCTGATTTATCTACGATGTGTTTATGTTATGATGAAATCCCAAATTGCCTCTTGAAAAAATGCGCTGTACCTGGGTATTTACGGGTTGCTGCTGTTGCTGCTGGTTAACCTGAGGCATTTATGGTGATAAAGACGGTTTACACTTTGAGATATTTGTTCTTGAAAATAAAGCAGCAATACCTGATTGGGTGGGGGCTGCTGCTGTTGTTGTTGATTAACCTAGAATACGCAATTACCAAAGGGCACAGGAGGTCAAATGCAGCTTATTTTGCTTGATGAAGCACAAAGGGTAACATTGTGCGAAGTTAAGGCTGCTCTCGACGCATTCATGCAAGCAAATTAGGAATAGTAATTGTAGCAACTGCCTTAGGCCGCGGGCATACCTCACGCAATTTTAGTCGCCACGCGATCTGGCAGTTTGTCATATTTCTTCAAATTCAATACTGACAGACCCCAAATGCATAGCATGTACAACTTTTGAAGACTGATGAAATGCCCTGTCTTCCGCACATTCAAATACCCTCCACGATGAGTCAGGAACAATTAGAGTACTGTCAAATCGCTCGTGACTGAAATTGCGTGAGAGCCTTAGGGTAAAGTTCTGATGGGACCACGCTCACAAAGGTATAACAGCAACGGATGGTGAATCAAGTAAAAGTACTTGACGTCTTTCATGGTCTGCGGTGACGTGCTTCAAAAAGCGTACATATAAAGGGAACGATAACAAGGGGAATAGACAGGCAACCGTTAAACAATGCAAAAATACTCTTCGCTTCAACCAGATCGGCTGCTGGAAGGCGGGGCTTGATGAAAGAGGCGACTGCTCGCGTCCGCAACGCAGTCTGCGCCCCCTCGCAAACATGCTCTCTGACCATTTTCTAGCCTTAATTAGGTCATGGGGCCCCGTCTTCCAGCCGCCGATCTGGTTGAAGCAAAGGGTAAACTAGCGGGCAAGTGAAATGGTACACTTCTCAAACAAGTCAGTTTTACAGCCTTTTTTACTTCACATAAAAAGGTTCGAAACTGTGGAGCAAACAATCGAAGAAAAAATTAGAGAAGGCTGTTACTGCGTGCCAAAAAGACAAATAAGATGATGCTTTGGTATGATTTACACATTGTTTAGGTGAACATATGCTCAGATCTGAGTAGCCCGTAACGCTCCGCGACTATTTGTGCTGTTCTGTCGCGCTGTATGGGATGAAAGATAAGACAAGTACAATCACTCTAAAGAAAAACTTATACGGCTGTTCTTTACAAAGGTGGCACAGAGGTCATTTGGATTGTTTTCGGTGTACCTGCTGTTGCTTTTGCTGCGTATGTTGTTGTTGTTTCACCTATAATTCAAAACAAACACATGTTTTGGTGTCACATTTGCACCAGTGCGTAAAAAGAATTGGTCCACAAGGGTCTACAAAGGTGTCGGACGCAAGAGAAAGCTTTCTACCTGTTGCTGCTGTTGCTGTACCTAAGGTATTAGCGCTTAATTTGCAAATATTGTTGGTTTCACATTGACACATTTTGTACAATGGAGTTAGGGACGAGACAGACAGATCTACCTGTTGTTGCTGCTGCTGCGCTTGTTGCTGCTGGTGTACCTAAGATGTTGGCTCTTTAATTTTATTATTTTTTGTCAATTGTTGAATTCCCATTACGGTATAATCTTATATATAAAGCTGAATGTCTGTTTGTCTGTCTGTAATAGTGGACTACACCCGCCGGGGCCCGAAGTGTATGTGTGCCAAGTTGGGTCCGGATCGGTAAAGAAATGGAATTTTCTATTCGGAACATACGGCGGAGCCGGGTAAGCCAGCTAGTACACATATAAAACTTGCGGACGAGGAAGGAGGACAACAAATCTACCAGTTACTGAATATGTTGCTGCTGTGCCTAAAGTTCAAGCGACAAAGTAATGTGTTGGATAATTAGAGCGGCATGCCAGCAAATGATGCTTTCCTATTGTGAACTAAGTTTGCGAAAGAGCATGAGAATAGAAAAGCGAAAGACACGATAGCGAAGTGGTACCGTTTGATTATCAATGCCATTGCTACCGATATAAAGCCTTCCAAAATCTGGAGACTGAGAAAGAGTTGATTATGTGTACATATTTTACTTCTCAAAAAACCAGCGCTACCTGATTTTGTGGCTGTCGTAAATGCGGTCGATGCGCCTGCTATGAATTTTGATGTGTAATCATACGCTGTGTTATTTCAAAAACGTAATACTGACCCCCTGACTTTCGGGAAAGTGCTGCTGATTAACCTGTGATTTATATAATCATGGGTGTATCAGCATCTGTCAAATGGCAGTACCTGATTTTTAGTGGGTTGCTGGTGCTATTGTTGATACCTGTGATTTATGAGTATTTCGCCATGTTTACGAAGATAGACTATTCTTATCCACAAAATACCTTATTCTGTGGAGGTTGCTGCTGCTGTTGCTGTTAGCTAACCTAGAGGGTAATACCGCGTGCAACGCATTTTGTCGTTAATTCGCTTCAGTCAAGTAACTACCTGATTCATAGGAGGCTGCGGTTGCTGCTGTTATTGTTTTATCTACGAGTACCCATATTATACATGATTTATAAGACTCGCTCTGCAAAAGATTGCGCAGTACCTGGGTATTTACGGGTTGTTGCTGTTGCTGTTGATTAACCTGAGACAGCCATGGTCAAAAAGGCTGTTTATAATTGAAAATATTTGTTTTCAAAAAGCAGCAATACCTGACTCTGTGGAGGCGCCTGTTGTTGGATTCACCTAGGATATGCAATTCAAAGGATCAAGCGGTCCAGTGTTGCTTTCATTGCTCGAATGGAGCAAATAACAGCATCAGCAGTGATGATCTTGATGCGGCTTCCATTATTTACACTCCATACAAGCAATAAAAGTTGAGGGGAAACTATGAAACCTCTCATGTACACCCTAGCACTTTGGTTGAAACCGAACACATACAGGGATGGAAACGGCGGGGAAGCTTCGCTTACTAATGACAGGATTGATAAGGTATGCGTATGCAAATTGGTGACAAAGTTGGTTTCCCAAAGCAAATCCCTTTCATATTTCAATGCCTTCCCATCTCAAAGAGGGACAAAAAGGGTCAATCGCGGAAATAGATAAACTGCTACAACAATTTTTCTTACTCTGCGCCAGTCTTACAAAAAGTTGAAAAAATCTGAAAAGGAGCGTCAAGAAAATTTTACGATGACTGATGTATACAACGGTAGATAGAACTTTGCTCAGAAGTTAATTTGCACATTATCGCATATACAGATACGTTCTGTTTTGGCAAATGGTAACAGTTTTGCCGCGCAGTATGAAATGGAAGGTCACAAGGAGCAACACATCACTTTAAGAAGTACCACGTACTACTACAATTCTTTGCAGAGGTTTGCACAAAGGATATTTGGGTTGTTTTAGTGTACCTGTTGTTGTTGTTGCTGTGTTCGTTGTTGTTGGTTTACCTATAACGTGAAGCTATCAAGCATATTGTTTGATGTCACATTTGCTCCATTGGGTAAAAAGACATTGGGTCCACAAGGGTCTACAGAGGTCTATGACGCAGAAGAAGGAATTCTACCTGTTGCTGCTGATGCTGCTGTGCTTGTTGCTGCTGCTGCACCTAAGACGTTAGCACTTTGTTTTGTATAGTATTTTGTTTCACATTTAGACATTATGTACATTATGATTAGGGACCGGACAGACAATCTACCTGTTGCTGCTGATGCTGCTGCGCTTGTTGCTGTTGGTGTACCTAAGATGTTAGCACCTGTTTTTTACAGGATCTTTGTGGTTTCACATTGAGACATTCACATGAAAAATTAGGGACGGAGACGGACTATACTACCTGTTGCTGTGCATGTTGTTGTTGGGCCTAAAAATCAAGCAACACAATACGCAATCATACTAACAACTGATGTTACATTATATGATTCTATATGATTACCTTCCTTAACCTTGTGTTCATTAGAACAGAAAAAAGACAGGAAAGCGAAAGAAAGAATGCAAAATGGTACCGTTTGATTGCTGATATCCTTCTAAGTCCACATTTTACCCTACATTTCAGCTTACGAGAATTCCTAGGCGAGATCGAATATAGAGTCCACTGATTGATGAAACAAAATACATCAACACCTGCTACTAATTTTCTAAAAATGGAAACTAGAAAAGACATGAATCCAAAAAAGTAATCAAGATAAATGCTCATCCCCGATGAACTTGTCTAAAGCAATTTTCAGTCACATCGCACAAAATCTATTTTGATACATAATGTGCCCTTCTTCAAGCGATATAATCCTGTCACAATGGACGCAACTAACACTTCCAGATATGAAAAACGGAAAATTTAAAAAATTCGAATGTCCAAGACATGCAAGGCATATCAAGCTAAGCAAACGGTACCAAAGGATGAAATACAACCGAAAAAACCCCCCACCTGCTGATTTGGAGGAGGTTGCTGATGGTGGATCTAAAATGAGATCTTCAGATTCGCTGACGAACTTTCAAAACTGAATGCAGAAAAGAGAAAAATTTGCAAACTCTCACCTCTGGCGGTTTATTGGCGTCTTGACCAGGGAACTGACTGGCTTGATGTGCCGCCACGAAGGGTATGAGCAGCAGGTAGCCCAAGCAGCGCATGCCTGGAAGAATTTCTTGTCATTGACAGTGGAAACAAGCTGATACATAGGAGACGTATAATCCAATGAAGAACAGACAGAACAGAAATTATACAGGTGATATATAAAAAGGTCATGATCTCTGAAAAAAAAGGAATTGGTTCTGGAGTTACGCATACTTTTGTAAAAGAGTATAACAAAAAAGTGATTCCTGACGACCACACATTCTCTCATAACAATAAAATTCAAGAATGCCAGTCAAGATAGCTACGAGAATATAGTTTCGCTACGAGGATGATGGAAACAAGGGTCAGATGACAGAGTTAAGAAATATTTTGTTAATAAGATGGTATCCGCAGTATGGCGCATGAAGGAGCGAAAACAATGCTTAAATCATGTTTTTGCAAAACAATTTTATGGTCAACAATCGCTCAACTATTTATTCAGTTGCCATTCCATGCTGGTTTGACGAAGGAGGCTCGTCAACTGTTTTGATTGATTGAATTTGCACAAAAACATTGAGGATGTACTCAGTATGAGGCTAGCAAGAGGAGAAGATTTGATGGAGGGCCATTTGCGATGAAATAGCAATACCACGAGAAGCGCCTTGATTTTGATCAGAAGTCTAACCTCCTTACCACTGGGCGCCTCTCGAGAGCTTGGAAACCTCATGAATTTGACAATACTGGACCTAGGACAGTCAACATAACTATTACCCAAAGCTACTTAAGTAAGACAACTACACAGTTAAAGTCTCTTAGTCTCATACTACAATGGCAGTCTTTCCTGAATGTACTTTTGCAGTGCAAAAGATCATTCAGTCGACATCCAACTTCTTGATTTTCTAGAACGTGATTTACAAAAAGTGGTTGAAATTTCATTTCTCTGGAAAACTGTTAACAACTACTTAAAGTGTGTTTAAAATGTCTTAAGTCGTGCCATAACTAGATAGATAGACTTTATAATAAATGGCCAGGGTCATCAAATATTTTGCTCGTAAGAAAAAAAGAAAAGAAAACAGAAGTATAAGGATCTATAAGGACAACAGGAGTATAAGGATCACAGAAAAACTCGAGAATTTCTGTGCTTGTAAATGTTGGAGTCGCGGTTAAGCAAAGATTCTTTGAGAAATGTTCTATGAGTTGAATGGAATGATTATTCCATTTTTTCACTTAAGTGAGAACGAACATATTAGAAGGTTCCAACGGAAAAATGGTTGAAAAAAAAACAAAATATTGATATGCAAATGTCCGGAAAAGAAAACTTCAAATCTGCGCAAAGTACAACAAAACAAAACAGTTCTGCACTTTGCAAAAGTGCATTGTGGAGACTATTCAGATTATAGTAGAAACCAAAACTGTCTTCAAGGACTGTATAATGTTACACGGAACCAAGAGAAACCAGAAGCCTTCGTTAAACGAAGAGAAGTTTGTTAAGAAGTTTCAAAGGCGAACAAGTTGGCGATGATGTCATGACAGGTTGTAAGCGCCAGCCTACTGTAGCGAAAGCAAACGTGTCGCATCGGATTACGGTAACTCGACTTTGGCAAACTGCAATTTCTGGTTCTCTGGGATTTTCTCTTCCAATGCTTGCATAATCTAGTAAGCCTTGATGGATTTATTACGAATCTATTAAAATTTGAGCTTAAATAACGCAGTTTACGATGATTTCTGGTGTAAAATTGTGCGTGGCGTGTTCTGCACTACACGCCACAGCGGCGTGATCAGATGTTTTGCTTGCGATCAATACCGCGAGAATTTGCTGCGATGTGGCATAGCATCACCTGTTTTCATTAGTAAATCATGCACTTTTCGTACGAAATCACTATAAACGTGTCTTCCCTCGTTAAGGGTCGTTAATGTCGGATGTCGGATTTCTCGGTTAGAGCTCGGCGACGCATTGGAGAACCTAAATCATCGGTATCAATCGCTTTTGACGATCACGACGCCAAAAAGGACTTTGCCGCTTCGTCGAATCAACACTCTCATTCACTTCTCGGAAGCTATCCGTCGCTGACTAGTACTGTTTTTGGAGCTTCACCGGCTCAACTGTGGAATTCTGCACAGGTTTGCACGCTCTCGATCTGTTTGTTTTACTTTAGCAAACAAAGAGTTTTGATGTTATCGCACTTTTTCTTGCCTCCATGCTCTTCTCTTCTAAAAAATTTTAAAGCGGTGTATCTCCGCAAACGATCACTCATACTGGATCGGCCATTATTGATCTATTCGTTTAGGAAGCCTTTTCGTCGATCCCTTCTCCGTACAATCCAAGTGAACAGCTTGCTGACGACAACGCTGAAAAGGAATTTCCTACTCTCAGTATATTCGGAGACCCTATCGATTCGATTACTTTCACCATGCCGTCTAGAGACAGAACGGCTGAATTCAGGACAACATGCAAGTCCATGCAGGTATTTACCCTTCCAGCGACTGTTGATAATACACTCCATTCTTCCTTTGTACCAGTGATTCCTTATTAATCTGTATACGGAAGCTTTTTCACTTTCTTAGCCTTAATTCCACGTTTGAGTCTCAATTTCAAGTGATAATCGCAGGAATTCTGTTCAGTTGCTTATCCTTGTTTAATACACTAAGTGTCAATTCTCAAAATATAATCTCTGAAATTCTGCAGTAGTTAAAATATTGACGCATTCTGTCCGCTATCGCAAATAAAAAAAGGTTGCAGTTAATGATCACGTAAACATGGACAACATATCGTTTTCAGAGGTTGGGCGCCTTTTGATTTTTTCGAATTTAGATGAAGGTACACTCTAATGGATTTGTACCGCACGCAAAGAAAGAAATAATAAACGAGTCTGTGCAATTTAATCAGTTAGCCAAGTGAGTTTCAGTGCATCCCTTTCACCTTTATCTTTACTTTCTATTTGTATTTTATTTTACTGTGAAGTCCACGTTTAGATCTGTAATGTTACCGTTTTTGTTGCGACTGTTTTTTTTTGCTTCCAGTAAAACCAACGGTCGATTGTTTCAGGAGAATCGGACGGGATTTGAGCCAGACATGTGCCAAAATGGAAAGGTTGGCCGAGTTGGCAAAGAAGAAGAGCCTTTTCGATGAGAAGAGCGATATGGACCACTTGTCTAGAGTCGTGAAGGAGGTTCGTTTATTTTCACTCGAGGACCAGTTATCACTAAGCAAATTTAGGATATCACCGGCTTGAATAAACAAATAGCAGCCCTTCAAGAGTTTTCGCGAAGACGCAATGGTGGCATGAAAAACCAAGGCACTGGTCACACGTGAGTTACAGTCGATTGAGAGTCTGGATATATAGTTTATATGATTTAGAATAAATTAGTGACTGACAGTACTATCAGATCAGCTGAGTAAAGCGAAGCAATTTCTACTTTTTGAGAATTGATCAATCCGGTCATTTACCATTTGTATTTTTTAACATTCATCGGACACGAGACAAAAATATCTATCGTCTTTTATGTGGTTTGTTCACGTCCCTCCTTACTTAAATTATTGCAGCCAGCTTGTTGTGGTCGGTCTTCAGTCGAAATTGGCAAGTGTGAGTAAAGACTTTCAAAGCGTATTGGAGATCAGTACGGAAGTGAGTGTAGGATTTCATATTCTGCAATTTTTTCTTCCCAACATATATGCTTTCAGAACTTGAAGCACCAAAAAAGTAGGCGAGAGAAGTTTTCGCACGCGGATCACCTTCCCACATCGCTTCCATCATCTTCAAGTGGTTCAAATGGTGAGCAGTAGTTTTACCTACTTTTGATATTGCAGTTCACTTGTTGACATGTGCTAGGTAAGGTTTTTTAAAATATGCCTTCATGCCTATGAGACGTATAATGGAAATCGTATGGTGGGTCTTGGTTTCTCACTTCTAAACTGTTTTACTTTTATTTATCAGTCTGTATTATTATCACATCGGATAATCGTTTACAATCCCCCTCTTTTCTTGATAATTATTTCTTAGTTCGCTCTCGTCTTCTTGAAGATGACAATCAGCATGGTGTCCCCCGTAATAGTAGTGTTACTCTGGATATGGGCGCTATGGAACAAATGCGAGTTCAACAACAGGTACATCGGTTCGAAATCGGATAACTTTATCACTTCCTTATTCCGATTTAGATGACACTACAAGACCAATCAGATAGCTATGCACAAGCCCGTTCAAATGCTATGGAAACTATTGAAGGATCGATTTCTGAATTGGGACAAATTTTTGCGCAGCTTGCAAGCCTTGTCAGCGAACAAGGTGAAATGATCACACGGTGAGTGGTTATTTACATTCTGCATGCTTCCATGGGAACAGCCCTTTCGTATTTCAAAACGTGTTTTTTCAATATCACTGACGTGCGCCCCTATGCAACGTCATGCTAGTTGCGTCGCTTAGGCAGTTCTGGCCTGTCATTCGCTGCAGTTACTGCGCATCTTTGTGTGGCGCTTTCTAGTTTTGTTCGAAAAATGGACTTCTCATTTTTGTTGTAAAACTCTTATTGCTTGAAAAAGTGCTGCTTTCTTGAAATCGTGTTCCCTATGACACTTCATCGTACTTTGGACATAACTTTCCTTGGCCGTGGCCAGACTTCGCTCAAAGTGCCCAAAAGCGCTCAAAGGCGCCCAAAAGCGCTCAAAAGCGCCCAAATCTCTCTGATGTCTCTTCACTTTCTGGTGTCAGGAGAGATGAGAGAGAGTGAGGAGAGGTTAGAAAATTTGGGCGCTTTTGAGCGCTTTTGAGCGAAGTCTGGCCAGGCCTTTTTCTCTTGCTGTCATTGCACTGATTGAGTTCCAATTTTGGCACTCTTTTTGCCTTTCATTTCATTCTAATTGAAAAAACGCTGATGGGGTTGTATCGTCAGGAATGCTTAGCATTCGGTATTCGAGCAACCATGATTTGAGAAACCAGCTGCAGCTGGTTTGTTTTTTGCAGAGCAGACCTCGTGCGCTTCAGCGACATCTGCTTTCAAACGGAAAACATACTTTCGTTTTATCAAATCAATGAATTCAAACTTTTCAGTATTGATTCGAATGTGGAAGACACGGCTATCAATATTGACGCTGCTCATACAGAACTAGTGAAGTATTTTCACAATATCAGTAAAAACCGTTGGTTGATGATCAAGGTGTTTGGTGTTTTGATGGTTTTCTTCATAATATTTGTTCTTTTCCTCACCTAATTGTTTAATTCATTCCCCTAGTAATTCACCTCTTCATTCTGTTTATGCTTTGGCTATATTGCGATTTCGAAGTTCTAACATTAATTGAAAGATTAGGCCGTTAGTTTTTTTTTTGGCGGGGAACAAAACCTAGTGGTTGGTAAATCGACTGGTGTTTAGTGTGTCTTAAGATATCCTTATCTCCTCTACCATCGATGGAGCGTTTTTTCGACCGTTTTGTTTATATCCGGTTTCTGCTATCTATTGTACATTTCGAAGGCCCCCTAGAAAAATTGATAGTGAGGAATATCATAACTGTTTTAATTCGATCGATGCACATTTTCTATATCGGAGGCTGATGGCTTGTTTTGTCTGTGATTTTGTTCATAACGATTAAAGTAATTTATTCACTTGTTCTGTGTTCTACTCTGAGGTGGTTCACCTCTGCATATCTCTTGGTTCGTTCAGTTTCGTAAGCTGGTCGTTTCTACCAAGTCCAAATCGCTTGACGGATCTTATAACACTGGATTGAGAATGTTTTTTTCTGTTTTTGCTTGCAAATGCACAATTTGACTTACCCTTTTGAGTGCTCATTGCCTACATGGTCAGTTCAATCCATCTCTTCTTGCATGTGTATCTCTAAGATTGCATGGCCCTTTACCGAGATCTAAATGGCAAAGTCTTTCGTATTCTAACTTTTTGCATTTACTTCAGAAATTCTTTCATAACTGCTCGTTCTTGTCGTGTGACGCATCTCAATGTTGAATGAGCGTTTGAAGGCCTTTCCATGAAGTAAACATATAGCAAAAATAGTTTTTTGCAAAAAGCGCCTTTGCGACATCGTTTACTATCTTATCCAATCGATCCACTGATAGTGTTGTAATCTCTGAAAAATTATTCAGTCAGTAAGTCCAAAATTCCGTCATTGGAGGTAGATAGGTTAACATTCAGGCCCGCATGAGTTCTTTCTAGCCTTTTTGATAACGAAAGTCCCCTAACTTTCGCTAAATTTGTCGAAACCCCCTTTACTCTTTTCGGAAAAGTCGAGTGAGAAAAACTTAACTTAAATTGTGTTTTTTCGGACTCACAAAAAGATATTCCCTTTTTCGCCCCGAAATAAGTCCATCCTGCTTCCAAACAATCTGTGCGGGCTCTGTTGACGTTAGCTCCGCCCTCATTCAGAAAAGTACGAGATTTACTCATAGTTTTTCAGTTCTTCATGCTGTCATCCATAATTAGAAAACGCAAAATTGTCTCCAGAAAGTGCCTTGGAAGCAGTTCTGTATGAAATATTGATTCCTCTCTTTTACTGGGTACTCAGACAATTGTTGCAGCGGCCCGGTCGCCCAACTGGGCTTCGCTGTTGAGCCGCGGCACCTAAATATTAGCCTTACATGCATCAGGCCCAGCAGCGGCCCACAGGTGTGAGCTGGCGACCCGCGCACATAGTTGATGCCATGCTGACGGTGGCCCGCGCGCCTAAACAGGCTCATAATTTCACTGGCGGCCCGCGCATCCATACACACGCATGCCGAAATTAACAGCGACCCGCTCATCCATATGGATTAACGCACGTTGTAAGCAAAAGGGTTACTCGCGTGAGATACGACGCAGTAAAAGGGATGCCATCGGAGCTTGCAGGCGAAGTAACACTTGCATTTGGGCACAACAGGTTCCCTTATGAGTTGACCGCTGATGGGGTTTCAATTAATCTCGTATATTTCGATCACTAGTGTGAAGCAGGAACGATCTCCACCATTTTTGATCTCAAATGGGTCGCATCCACATTCGAGGTGACCTGCGCATGCAGGTGCAGCCGAGCAAAAACCCAACCCCAGGTTGACCCTGCTATGCTAGCGTGGGCCAACAAAGCAAAGGAGTACAACATTAAGACATTGAAATACAGGCTGGCCCGCTCGTCCGGATGACAGGGTCGCTGCACACACTAGAACCGTCGCTGGCCCGCGCTAGCATGGCAGGGCAAGGCCCGGAACGGGTTTTCGCCCAGCCGGCCATGAGCGCGCGGGTGGCTGCAAAAAATGTCTGAGTAGTTGCTTGTTTCCGAAACCGCCCCGCTGCTCTTCGGAATGGGTTCGAAAAGATCTCGTTACTGATTTGCAGTTATCTGGATGGAGAAACACTTATGACCCTGCAAAGGTTGCTCGTTTTTTATGTAAGGCACCAGTTTAATAAATGTATGTAATGGGAAATCTTGATTCACACGATTGTTGACCGGTTTTTCTTGCGAAAATTCTTTCGCTAATGCTATCAGGTGTTGAATACGTGTTCTCCTCCATTGACAACAACAGTTTGCAGGCTCGGTTTTTGCGTAGTATTCAAAGTCTCGAGAAAACGTGAAGTAGAGATTTAGCAATTTTGTTCCGCTATTTGTGTTCAAAAAAATTTTCCCATAACTTGACATTGTCACTTCCGCTTTTCTCTCATATAATTTTCATCAATTTCGCGAGGTATTCGTTGTTGAGGCTGTGACGGTATTACTTTTGAACTGCTAGTTTATGTTTTATATTGCTTCAACGTTCTTCCACTAAAGCAGCATTTCACAATAGTCTTTTTCAGTTATAACTGCACTTTTTTGGAAGACTGAGAGATTGTTGGGATTGAATTGCTAATCTATCTTTCAATATATTGTGCACCTGTAGCATAAGCCATTCACAGGACGCGCAAATGAAATCCTTTCCTACTATAAGTACATGTGCATTCATGTCTCAGTTATCCTAATTTGGTTCTGAAACTCTTCTGAACTCCCCACTTTCATCTCTTCTTTTAATTATTTTCAATGACTGTGTGGAAGAGTATCACAGTGCGTTCTGTATTGGTTTTTATCTCTACAAAATGGTAGGCTCGCAGCTGTGACTGTTTTTCTAACACTAAAGTGCACTAGAACGATAAATCTAACAAATCGATCGACTAAATGTACTTGTAGGGGAGTTCGAGTTTGTATTAGCAAAACTTTTGCTCGCTTGTGGTTTCAGCTCTGTCTACAGTTTTTGTGTCGAATCTTACTCGAAATTCCTTTTTTGAATTAGACTGAGTTTTAGGTAAAATTCTTTCTAAAACGTTCTCATAGAAAGTAAGACTCCCTGCGTTACCTTCTGTTACATTTTTATCGTTTTATCGTTTTACTAACACTTGGTTTTTTCAATACATTGCAGCTACGAGTTTACCTCTTTTTTTTTGCTTGATGGTAGCGATTCAAACGTTTCATTTTATCGATCTTGTTTCTTTTTTATCACTTTACCTTGTGAAGACGAATCATTCCGGTTGTGTTCACCTCTCAGACGCTCTCACAAAGCCATTGCAGTCTAGCCTTTTCGATCCACGCACTGAAGCGGTGCAGCCACCGTCCTGCTGATGCACATTTCACCGGGTCTTCTAGCCCTAGCCTCATTTGTGGCTACGGCCGCCACTGTGACCAATGCCTTCGTCGTCAATAAGCAGTTTTATCCTTCGATAGTCTATATCACAAAAAGCAGCGCTAGTATGATGGTGAGTTACTTCTTCATCGATTTGAATTTGTGTACAAATGTCGAATTTACTCCTTTCGTTTCCAGGTTATATATGTCCAAGCACTTATCCTTGTGTACATACTGTTTCAAATTGTCAGAAAGATTTTCTTTGGTGAATTGAGGGCTTCAGAAGCGGAGGTAAGAGACTTGTTGTATTGCGTATTCTTTTGGATATTTACTATTCTATATTTTATGTTTCGAGCAACTTTTTTTGTGCAATAACTTGCATTTAAATCGCTAGAGGCTGGTGTTTTTTCTAGCTTATCACCGATCTTTGCGCAGGGATTACTAGAGAAATCAGTAATCTTTCCCACTGATATATTAAGTTCGTGTAGCAGCAGTTTCATTTTGATCAGCTAAAGAAACTTAGACCATGGTTATCTCAAATTTCTTGGCTAATTTAAGCAAACTGGACTATTGAAGTTATCGAATTTCTTGAGTATTATTTGGCGTTTTCAGCATCTTTCCGAACGAGCATGGCATGCCGTGCTTGAAACTTGCCTTGCCTTTACCGTTTTTCGAGACGACTTCTCACCTATATTTGTCATGCAGTTTGTCGCTTTACTATTTGTTAAAAGTTTTCACTGGCTGGCAGATGATCGAGTTGATATGATGGAACGAAGCCCTGTCATAACATTGAAATTTCATTTGAGAATGATGTGTAAGTTGATTTGATTTTTCTCTTTTTCGCAAATTCGATCTTATGGAAATCGTTGAAGATTTTTCTCTAGAACTGCATGATTTTAGGTATAGTCGCCTTTCTTGGTGCTACCGATTCATATCTTGTTTCACATGCCTATTTTACCACTTTACTCAAAGGCGCAAGCGCTCAAATAGTGTTTGGTTTTGAGTGAGTTTCCAGTTTTCATGAAAGTATATCCAAATTTATCAGCTTTTTTTCTCTTAATGTCACGCTCATTTTCATCCTTCATAGTGAAAATCTGTTCCCAGTTTTGAATTACGGGTCTCTTGCTGTTACTGAAGATGTAGTAAGAATTTTCAGAGATTAGGATCTTTACTTATGAAAGGGACATGGATTATGGGCAGATATTTTTGACCATGTTTTGAAAAATCTCGTAGCGGTTTTATTACCACGATGAGATCTCACTCCTCTTGAAACTTACCGTAGTCCTACAGTAGTAGCAAGAAATCATTAGATTTTTCTGTGAAACAAAGCTGTAGCCAGCCTATTGATTTTGAGGTTTGAAAATCTCAACATTCATGTAGAGTTGTATAGCAGTACAAAGATAGAACTGAAAAAAACATAATTCACCAAAACATAAAACATAACAAATAAAATTTTTCATATTCATCTATTTAGGTACGCCATTCTAATGGCGCTTGTCATTCACGTGACTATCAAATACATACTTCACATGCATGACCTGCGAACAGCTCAAGCCTGGGAGAACAAAGCGGTCTATCTGCTTTACGCTGAGCTGCTCATCAGTGAGTACCAAATGCTCGGTATTTTAATCAGTGATTTATTTATTTACTTGCAGATTTGATAAGATGTGTTTTATACGGTTTGTTTGCTGCTGTTATGCTTCGTGTCCATTCGTTCCCGCTATTCTCCGTACGACCATTTTACCTGTCTCTGCGTGCATTACATAAGGCCGTGAACGATGTGATCCTGAGCCGCAGAGCCATCAATGCGATGAATAAGTACGTTGCTTGGAAGTTATCCAAGTCAAAAAAAAAACTTTGAAACGAGTTTCGACCGTGATTTTTATAGCAAATCCATGTCATTTTAGCTTGTTCCCGATCGTATCTGCAGAAGACCTTTCTGCGATGGATGCCACGTGCATTATTTGCCGCGACGAAATGACGCCAGAATCCACACCAAAGCGACTTCCTTGCGGACATGTTTTCCACTCGCATTGCTTGCGCAGCTGGTTCCAACGTCAGCAAACCTGCCCCACTTGTAGGACGGATATCTTGGGTATGCTGACGCAACATTTTCTTCCAAGAAAGAAGCTGCGGAAGAGGGGCCAGATTTTGCTCGAGTTAGAGGGGAATGGAAGGTGCAGAAGCGGGAGAATGCTAAAGATTGTTGTTGCACGTAAATGTTTTGTAATTTTTTGATCTTCTTCCTCTTTTATTTTGTTAAAAATCGCATATTCTACTTTCTTCTTGCTAATTTTGAACCTTTCTTCCTAACGTGTATCTGTTAGAAGCAAATTTTCATGCTTGGCGCACCTTCCCCATCTTTTTACTGCGGTCAATGCCATCAATTTTGTATCCTCAACATTTGTCAACTTTCAGCTGCTACCGGTCAACGTGCGGCAGCTAACGGCGCAGTTCCAGCTGCACAGCAAAACAATGCTGCACCGGCAGCTAACGTGATGGCCAATGCGAGATTGCCACCGAATCTATTCCCCTTCATGGCTCATCAGTTTGCTGTACCTCAGCCTAGACCACCTGCACAGGATAATGTAAGGGTTTAGTTAGATCGTAAGAGAAGCCCCAAGTGTGAAAATCTTCAGGCTGGTGCTGCTGGTGCAACGGGAGAGCAAGCTGGAGCTCTGGCGGCGGATCAGGCAGGATTTCCATTCCCGGTGAGCAACCATAGTCTAATTTTTTCGGTAGTGAGAGGATTAAGTTGAATGTCTCTGATTCGAGTTTATCTTGTTTTTACTTGTGCATCTTTTTTATTCTATCTACTAATGCTGACCCTGTTCTTGCTTTCTCGCTTTTTTCGTTCCTGTACCTCCTGTGTTTTTAGAAGAACATGAAATAAAATAATCAAAACATGTCTGATCTGAGGATTTTAGGCTCAGTTCCCACCGTTTCCCTTTATGCCTCCTTTGCCTCCCTTCCCTATGGAGATGCCACGCCCACCACAACAGCTTGACCTTCTGTCAGACGAAGAACTCCGTGCTTTGGAAGGTGAATAGGCGATTTTGTAGCATTCACAGTCTTTTAAGTAGATGTTGCTGTTTAGGTGAGAGTCGTGCAGCTTTGGAACGTCGTATAAAAATGTTGGGAGACATCTCGACCTTGTTGGATGCCGCTGTTGCGCAAATGCAGCAATACACCGCTATATTCGGGTATGTCCTTCATGCACTTACAGTACTATTCTTCGGGATTTCTACCCTGCTCATTTTCTTGCTATTTTTGACTCAACACTTATACATTGCTTTGCAACAGCGGCCCTTTTTAGCTCTGCTCCATTACCTGTGCCAGTGCCTCCTCCTGCGTCCGCGAACGAGAATCCATGGCTTGCGTTCTTTGGCCAAGGCATGAACCAAGCTCAACAGCACAGCGCGGATGGACTGGACGTGACGCAGAGTAGTTCTGCTCAAGATGTTGGCCCAATGCAGCCGGAAGGTGCTTCGAACCGTAATGGAAGTGTGGTACAGAATGGTGGACCCAGCAGTGAGGTAACACATAATGTCTTTTTTTGTAGAAAGGAAACAACCCGTTGTTCTAGGTTTCTGCGGACATCCCATCAACTTCCAAATCGTTGTTCGGACCGTCATCGACTACGTCACTATCATCGACACCGCTGGCTACCGCGACGGAATCGCCTACTTCTGGAGAAGCCACTATTTCTCCTGATACGCCGACAACTTCCAAGGAGTCAATCGTACGGTCACCAGCTGATGAGGAGATTAGGCAACGGAGGTTGAGGAGGTGAGAGAATATAGATCTTGATTCCATTTGCTCCAATGAATTTTTTTTTGTTCAGGTTTGGTGATGCGGGCAGCAGCTCAGAAGATCATTGATAAGCGGTGTATAGCGGTATAATCGAATTGTGATTAATTTTTCGGATTAAGTCATATTTATTTCGCTTGCGATTATGTTTCAGTGCGGGATATTCTTTGGAGTAAATTTAAATGTATTTTTTGTTTGAGTGTCTTCTTCAGTTTTTTTCAATCGCATATCAGTGTTTAGAAAGGGGAAAATTCTATAAATGTTAAGTTCACGCTGAGACTATGCTGCGCTCTATCTTCTCGAGAGTTAATTTGGATGTCTGAACTTCTTAATTTCTGTAATGGTTGTACAAAGAGAAATGCGAAGAGTAGAGCGGCAACTTCTCTGTGTATGTTCATCTCGTTCAGCTCTATATTCGCTTTGATGAAAAAAAAAAGGGGGCTGTGTAAATTATAGGTCGTAGGTAGCTGGCACCGCAAAACCATTCCAGATACCCGAAAATCTTACAGATAAGTCTGCTTGTTTGACCGGGAAAAGTTTCTTCAGATAAGTCCGACAATTAAACTATTGAACGAAAACGAAAACGTTTCTATTTGAACGACAATAATTTTTCTTCGGTAAGTTCGAAGACTGTTAGGTAAGTCAGGAATTACTTTATCTGGTGGCAGGACCTATCTATAAGACTTTAGGGTAAAGTACCATACACTGTGGACAACTGAGGCTGTGTCTGATTTCGGTGAACGGAACCGACGCGTTCAGCTATAGGGGCCTGCATGATCGCGAGAGTTGGACGTGCGTACGGCTATTGCGCCGAGCACGTCAGATGTACTTCCGACGACTCACATAGGTGCCAGATTTATCCTGTTGAACAGGTTCATTCGGTTCACCACCTTTGCTGTTGAACAGTGTAGTGATTTGACCTATGAACCGAACGAACCCGTTGAAGCGGCTATGTCTGGCACCTGCCTTAGGCCCGTATGCACTAACATTTTTGCGGCGAGGGGAGCGGCGTCCCCCGTTATGAAGGGACCGCGTGCGAACGCCGCTGCGGCTTTTTCATCATTGGGGACGCCGCTCCCCTCGCCGCAGGGATGTTAGTGCATGCGGCCCTTAGTGACATCGGACGTGCGCAGTGCAATGGCCGTACGCACGCCCGACTCTCGCGATCATGCAGGCCCCTATAGCCGTTCGCTTCTCGTATCTTGTTTTGAACAGTCCTGCCCTTATTTGAGCTGGCGCTCTCGAAGTCGAATTTGATTGAGACTTGAGCTTTCAATCAAAGGTTGTGCTTTGGATGTGTAATTGAAGTCATAAAATAAGTCTCATCTCTGGTATGCATCTTATTATCGTTTACAGTGAAAAGAACCCTCGCAGCGTGTAGATTTTTTGTGAGGGACACTTTTTGGTTATTTTTTTCTTTTTAAGGAACAAATTTGATTTCGCGATGTAGCGACATACAACCTTGTGGATTGCGCATGTTCTGCAAGGTCCAAACTTGCTAGCTTAAGTTGGAAAATAATGAGACGGTCTTTAGACAGCCAGATGATGCTCAATAAGCGTGGTTTGGTGTAGGTCTTGTTGAACATAGCTTGCCATAGGCAACGTCTGCATCAATCCAATTCTTTATTCTTCAAAAACAAGAATAGATCATCTTACCGTGGGCGAGGGTCTAGCACCAAACCGATAAATTACCTTTCAAGGAATGATGCGATTTTCTAGCCTTTGCCGTTGGGACAGGAAGAAATAATGTAGCTACAATGTTTTTCAATTTAGCGGATTGTGGATTTAATGCTATTTCTGTAGTAAACTTCTGATTTTCATGAATATCGTAGGTGTGCTACAGGCATCTGTTTTGTAGAACATCATTGCCTGTTCTCATCACTTAGTCATTTGCAAATACCGGCTTTCGTTATCGTGTCTCACTGTAACAAACCAGAGTGATTGTATTTGGTGTGTGAAACCTCAAAATCCATTTTTCACAAAAAAATGTTAATCGTGACCGTACAAAATCAAAACCTTCAATAAACCGCTTTACGCACTTTTGGACACACCTAAAATCTCTAAAAAGACGGGTGGTCTAAGCAAATGTGTCGCAAAAAGCCCGTAACTCTGCATAAAACAAATCAAATTTCAAAAGGTTAACTTTATGTGGTGGCCTATGAAAATTGCATGGGTCCTATCGTTCATGTTTGAAAAAATGTCTTATTTTGACTTACATACAATTCAAAATTCATTCAATCAATTTCATGAATTTTCTAGGACGGCGCTGCCATTTTGCATATGCTGGCTTTAAAGTATACCGCATCTGTTAAGCTTAGATGCCGGCCAATAAAAAAATCTGCATTCTTCAGAAGCTCTTCAACATTTTCCTCCCTCTTCGGAAGTGAAACCATAATAGGGAAGAAGTCTATAGAGAAAAAAAGATTTATGTCATTGCGAAGCAAGAAAGAGGACAATAAAAGGTTGGAAAATGAAATCTCTAAAAGGGCGTCACACTTCGTGTGGACCACCCTGTATAGACAATGCGATCCACCTGAAGGTCAGTTTCACGGAAAAAACTTTTGTTCAAAATGAAAAGGAATGCCTAGTTGTAAACTTGCGTTTGATCAAAGCGCCACCAGTATTTAGAACAAATCTTCTCGAACATGCGCCGGAAATGGGAGCGCTGTCTAGTGATAATTGCTAAGAAAATATACTTATCGCGAGTATTTTACTACTGTCAGTTATTCACATTTTAGGTGAAGGACAGGATTGTTATTTAACTAGTCATTATACCCACTAGCATCAATGCTAGCACGCTTGCCGGCTGAGAGGAGAGATTCGAAACTTATCTTCTGAACGTGACTTGATTTTGGGGAAGGTGCTCACATACAACTAGACAAATTTCTTAATCAGAAAGTTAATCCACCTGAGGCTTGCGTAGCAAGGCTTGCGAAGTTGTTGAACCATAATGTAGTATTGCGTGTTCAAAACATTGCATACTTTTTAACATAAAAAGCTCAAAAGAAGCAGCTGAGTTTCACTCGAAGAAAAGTACCTGGTATTGTGTTATAGCGGTATAACAAAGCGCACAAGTATCATCGAACCTCAATAAATTTTTATTGTTATGGCAAGTTTTGTAAGTCGCATAAAAGCTGGATTTTTGGGCTGGTCCACTGCATATATTTTTAGGAGAAGAATATGAAAGAAAGTCACCAAGTCGCTCGTGAGGGTTAAAAGCCATGTGAACAGGATGAGCTCCTTATATTAGGTTGAACCGAAAGTTCTGTCGCACCATTTTAAAAAAATCATAACTTCTCTCGGTCACGACGATTTTGCGCAATTCAAATTCTGCCTGAAAGCGTAAGGAATGTAGTTTCCAAGTTTTTCCTGAGGACTTTCCAAGTCGCTCAGGTTGCAGAGATAAAAATGAAAGAACGAGATCATCCGAAATTCGGAATTTTTAAGCAAGAATTCTAAAAATTCAGAAACAGTGCGATAAAATCCAGAAAAGCCATTATCCTAATTTTTCTTACATTTGATTAACATCTGAGTCAAGTTTGTGCTGATCGAGGTCTTCTTCCAGTAGTTATGAATTTTTGAAAAAAAATGCCAAAAAATCCATTTTTTAAGAATTCTTAGGGAATTGATTTTTCGGCATTATTTTTCAAAAAATCATAACTTCTGGAAGAAGACCTCGATCAGCACAAACTTAACTCAGATATTAATCAAATGTAAGAAAAATTAGGATAATGACTTTTCTGGATTTTATCGCACTGTTTCTGAATTTCTAGAATTTTTGCTTAAAGATTCCGAATTTCGGATGATCTCGTTCTTTTATTTTTATCTCTGCCATCTGAGCATGTCGGAAACTCACCAGGAAGCTTCTGGAAACTACATGCTTTACGCTTTCAGACAGAATTTTAATTTTGCAAAATCGTCGTGACCGAAAGAAGTTATGGTTTTTTGAAAATGGTGCGACAGAACTTTCGGTTCAACCTAATACTTTAAAATCACAAAGTCGCAGAAAATGAAAATTAAAAGATGTGAGCTATCAGACTCAGCCTGCTCTTGGATGCCATTTTCCAAAAGACGTTACTGATTTGGAGACGCTGACTTCAAATTAGATCTACAGTATGGAACGAATCACATATTGCTCTTTTTACTGTAAAATTAGGTCAAGAACTTGAATTTTTGAGCGACATTGTGAAATACAGTTTGAAAAACATTTCCATTGCGGAAATATGTGTAACAGTACACAGATGCTTTCAATCCAAGTGTCACGGTTGGTGCCGCTCGCGAGCCGCCTCGCATGGGTCTCTCACCGCGTTCGCCCTCCACGTACGGTATTTTTCCATGCTTGAAGCGTGGGAAATACTGTATTCCTAAGCATTAGTGGCTGACAAGCTCAAAATGCTTCACGTTTGCAAACGCGTCGAAGTGGCCCAAGCGAGGCGGTTCGCGAGAACCCGAGCCGCGTAACCGTGACAATCGGATTGAAAACTTTTGTATAAGGCATGCTAATTTTACAAAGCAAAAAAATGGTTTAATCACATTTTGGAGGACACTGAGAGAAACTTGTTGCTATATACTGGTAACCTATCGTTTAAGAATTTCTAACACTACTTTCTTGCGGGTACTTCCAAGCCTTAAATCTGCCCAAACAAGGCAACCAGAATATTTTTTGGAGCATTGAGCAAATGATTTGCCTTGAAGGAGACTTTCTGAATCACTAAATACAGCTGCCAAAGAATCTCACATTTGATGATGAGATGGCAGAGAATTTTTATTTTATCTTGACTTTTTACCAAGTTGTTCAAGCAATAGTTATGACTTCGTCACAGCTGTTGCTTGAAGAACGTAGTAGAAAAGATTATACGATATACAACATTGTGTTTTTTTTGTAGGCTGTGTAGAAAGAAAACTAGTCACAGAAAATAGTGTTATGCCAACATACAGCTTTTGAAGTGAACTATAATTGGACTGGAATTATCAACTAAAAACTCAGATTCATAGAAAATTTCTTTGGTTTGAGGACGTCGAGGAATTACTGTGCAAGAACAACTTTCAATAGAAAAAAACAGCTCGCCAAAAATTGTTGAATTGCTTACTTTATGTGAATTCGGACTGTCTCCTTGTCCGAGTTCTGATTTATATCCAAGCAATTTTGTGCTACAAAACCTCACGATGTGAGCCATGTTACCAGCTACTCAAGGACTGATCTGATTCAAATTTGACTGACAATGCGAGCATAGATTTGATTAATTTTGACGTTGGAAAAACCTCATAAGTGTTTCCATATATTTTGACCATTTATTCATCAGTGCGC